TTTTTTTATTTATTGTAGAGATGAGGTCTCGCTGCCCAGGTGGGTCTCGAACCCGCGGGCTCAGGCAATCCACTCACCTCAGCCTCCCAAAGGTGCGGGATTACAGGCTAAGCCACCGAGCCCGGCTTGATTTTTTATTTTTAAGAGTCAGGGTCTTGCTCTGTCGCTCAGGCTGGAGTGCTGTGGCTCACTGCAGGCTGAACTCCTGCGTTCAAGTGATCTTCTCAAGCAGCAGGGACTACAGGTGCACACCAACATACATGGCTACTTTTTTTTTAAGGAATGGGGTCTTGCTATGTTGCCCAAGCTGTTAACATAATTTTTTAATTGAGTTGGAGTCTCACTCTGACTCAGACTGGAGGGCAGTAGCATGCTCACAGACAACACAGCCTCGACCTGCTGGGCTCAGGTGATCCTTCTGCCTCAGTCTTTCTTTTTTCTTTTTTTTTTTTTGAGTTGGAGTCTCACTCTGACGCCTAGACTGGAGTGCAGTGGCCGCTCCCGACTACCGCAGCCTCGACCTGCTGGGGCTCCAGTGATCCTTCCACCTAGCCTTCCAAGTAGCTGGAATTACAGGTGCACGCTACCACACCTGGCTAATTTTTTGATTTATTGTAGAGATGAGGTCTCACCAAGTTGCCCGGGCGGGTCTTGAACCCACGGCCTCAGGCAATCCACTCACCTCAGCCTCCCAAGGCGCGGGATTACAGGCTGAGCCACTAAGCCTGGCTTGCCTCAGTCTTTCAAGCAGCAGGAACTACAGGCATGCGCTAACATGCCTGGCTAATTTTTTTTTTTTTGAGTAAGAGTCTCATTTTGTCACTCAGGCTGGAGGGCAGTGGCATGCTCATGGACACTGCAGCCTTGACCTGCCGGGCTCAGGCAATCCTTCTGCCTCAGCCTTCCAAGTAGCTGGAACTATAGGCGCATGTCAGCATGCCTGGCTCATTTTTTGATTATTTTAGAGATGAGGTCTTACCAAGTTGCCCAGGCTAGTCTTGAACGCCTGGACTCAGGCAATACTCTCGTCTCAGTCTCTCAAAGTGCTGGGATTACTGGCTTGAGCCGCCGTGCCCAGACTAATTTTTTTTTTTTTTTTGAGTTGGAGTCTCACTCTGTCTACCTGCTGGGCTCCGGTGATCCTTCCACCTCAGCCTTCCAAGTATTCCACCTCAGCCTTCCAAGTAGCCGGAATTACAGGCGCGTGCTACCACACCCGGCTAATTTTTTGATTTATTGTAGAGATGAGGTCTCGCCAAGTTGCCCAGGCTGGTCTCGAACCCACAGGCTCAGGCAATCCACTCACCTCGGCCTCCCAAAGCGCGGGATTACAGGTTGAGCCACCGAGCCCGGCCAATTTATTTATTTATTGTAGAGACGAGGTCTCACCATGTTGCCCAGGTTGGTCTTGAACCCACAGGTTTAGGCAATCCTCTCGCCTCTGCCTCCCAAAGTGCTGGGATTATAGGCATGAGCCATCACGCCTGGCTTAACATGATTCTTAAAAAGAGAAACCCTTAATCTAAGTTTTAATTCTCCATTTTGTTGTCTAGAAATTGGGCTACCATGTTAAAGAAATATAACCTGATACTGGAGTACACACTAACTTTATTCTAACGAAAAGCAAGTTGCAGGCTACTAAAATTGATAACTTTGTTAGTTCAATTTTACCTCTTCTCCCCGAAAAATTCAGACTGATCAAATCATTGTCCTATTATATTAGGCCTTCCCCCCTCCCAGTAAAAGCCAAAAATGAATTTAACACAACATGTATTTTTCTTTATTCATGCCCTAGGCCCAATGATTATGAATTTTCCAACTAACACTCACAGAATCACATGGTCTTCACCTAAACTCTGTTTCTTCGGCTTTAGTGTCTCCTTTTGGTGCTGCTGAACTGGATGCCCATTTTCCATTGCTGTTCCGTTTAGCAACTGATCATTTTGAGAACTGATACCAAGTTGTATGTCAAGGATCTCCTAAGAAAATAAGATGTTAATCCTTCAGTATGAAAATATTTTATATTTTTAAAATTTTCAATGAACAAAGCCTCCAAATTATTTAATTGTGGCACTTACTTCAATTTGTTCACTCTGTCCATCAGGTTCATCAGTATCAAGTGCTGAAAGTTCTAATTCAATATCCCTATCAGGCTTAGTATCTGTTGCATCTTCTGTATAATCACTCTGTAAGTAAGAAATATACTGATTTATACCTGTGGAACCTGGGGCTTCCCTTTTATATTAAAATGGAAACCCCAATGATTCAATTAAATAACTATTGAAGAAATCTGGGATAATAATTTTATTTCTACTATAAGTTTTAAAAACAACCAACCATCCATCAGAAAAAGGCACACTAAAAGGAACTGAGGAATGGTATAAACCAAGGTGCAGCTGCAGAAAACAAACACACTAAGCATGAATCCTGAAAGGTTCCCTTTCTTTACCTCTCCATTTCTCAGTTCAATTTCTTTGCTTAGCAGATTTAAAGTAAGGTGACGACCTTCGTCCAGGGAATTCCACTTCTGCTGCATAGCCAGAGCATTAGCCTCCCTCTGAAGAAGTAAAGAGTTACTCTTGGCCTAATGAAGAAAAAGAGATTAAAAGTTAGTTTCTGACCATAGCTTTCAATTAAAAAAAAATTCAAACCTGAGTTACACAGAGCCTACCTGCTGAAGTTCAAGACTTAAAAGGTCCCCAGTACTGGAATGCTTTCTATGACCAGATAAATCAGTAACAATGAATCTTTCCCTTTAAAAAGAAATATATTATTGTAATAGATGTGAAATAAATGAAGCAACAAAAGCAGTAATTGACAACATATTTTTACGTAACAAATCAACCCCAAAAGCTTCAGTCATCATTCCAAATGTCAAAGTAAAGAAATGTTTTTCAGAAATGTGTTACATAGTTTAGTCTAACAAGGCACATTCCATGAACTATTGAGGGTAGGATGTGTACTCTGAATATACCCACAAGTCCGAGGATGGCAAATCTTAAAGAATTAAGAAAAAATTACCGTTCAATATAGTGTGCTGATGATGTGGCCTCACTGCCATATGAACTCCACCTTGAATCAACAGCATTGACATAAGGAACATAATCTATAGAAAAGTAGAAACAAACAACAATCAGAAAAGTAAAAAATCACCAGGCGCAGTGGCTCAAGCCTGTAATCCCAGCACTTTGGGAGGCGGAGGTGAGAGGACTGCCTGAGCTCAGGGATTTGAGAACAACCTGAACAACATGGCAAGACCTTGTCTCTATAAATAAAAAAAAATTAGCTGGGAGTGGTTCCAGCTACTTGGAAGGCTGAGGTGGAAGGATCACCTGAGCCAAATAGGCTGTGGTGGCTGTGAGAGTGCCACTGCACTCCAGCCTGGGTGACAGAGTGAGACACTGACTCAAAAAAAAAAAAAAGAAAAGTGAAAAATCAGTATATTGATGTGAATGTATACTTTTCAAAAGAGATCTGTATTTTATCCCATTAGCCATATAATGTTGGTTAAACCATTTAATTCTGAGTTTACTATGGTTCTTGATAAATGGAAGGAAATGTTCTCTATCTCACAGGTTGGAGAGTAAAAAGTACAGCGCCTAGAATTTATCAGGCTAGGGTATTATTTAAATAGATTACCTGATACGCTGATGGGCTTAGTTGCACTTCCTTGGGAAGCAGTGGCCTGGACAGGATCTGTGGTATGGTAACCTGTACGGGATGATCTGGAAATTGCACCCCACTTTGAGATGATGGGTCCATCACTAAAGGGAATTATTGGATCTTCTTCTTTTGTCCTTCTCTGAGTTTCAAATAAATGTACTCTTCTCTTAACATCTCCACTGTCCAGATCCTGTGTAAACCAAACAAAATCAATAAAAGGACTGCTGGCAAGTTACTTTAGCTAGTAGGTATATATTTTCAAAAGACATGTAATTAGGTTTTCTGGTAAATTTAATACTAGCTCTAGACCTCAACGATAATCTAACAACTATTATTGAACCACCAAACAATTCTCAAATACTTTAAACATTAAATGCAATGTATTTCAGACTGATCTAAATATAGCCCTGATGCTACAGATGAGTTATATGACAAAAACCATATAAATGAATGAATAGAAAACATTCATTCTGAAACTTGAGTCCACATGCATTATCTCTAATTCTCACCCTAACCCCCCCACTCCCTGCCCTCACCCACCCTGGCAAAATCATACCATTAACACAGCATTTGAATTAGCAATTACATCTTTGGGCTCTGAATCGATGGCATTTATACAGGAGCCTATGGTGCCACAAGACCAGGGAGAATAATGGGAAAGATGATCTTCTTCAAATTTTGTACCACTCACACTCTCAGAGAACTGGTTAAAAAAAAAAAAACAATTAGTAAGAAACTTAAATTTACAAGCTTATAGCTAACATAAAGTAACTATTCTAGAATTCAGAGTGCGATTCAACAATCACACTCTTTCAATAACTAATATAAGATGGGTGCAATGGCTCACACTTGTAATTCCAGCACTTTGGGAGGTGGAGGCAAGAGGACTGCCTGAGCCCAGGGGCTCAAGACCAGCCTGGGTAACTCAGCAAGACCTCATCTCCACAATAAATCAAAAAACTAGTCAGATGTGGTGGCGCATGCCTATAGTTACAGTTGGAAGGATCGCCTGAGCCCAGCAGGTCGATAAGTATGCCACTGCACTTCAGCCTGGACAAAGAGTGAGACTCCAACTAAACGAACGAACAAACAAACAGAGAAAAAAACCTAATATCAAAAACTGTTATAAGCAACAAATAGTATTTTTATGATAGAAAATGGCATGTCCTCTCTTTTCACTTTGTTGTTTAAGTGATCATAAGGACTCTTAACAATTACTATTAAAACCAATGAACAAATACTTGTAGCATTCCACTAACATGATATGTGGTGCTATAAAACAAGAAAAAAAAAAAGCAAAAGAAAACAAATATACAGATACAGACACAGGGATACAGTCCACATTCTAAAGAAGTATATAATTTTCTTCAGAAAATAACTTGTAAATATGGGAACATAACTAATAAACCATGCAGTATTAAAGAACTAAAGAAGATTCTGGAGCTAGAAGAGGAAGTGAATACATTTTAAAGAGACTGTGAATAAAGAATACTATAGAAGTAGAATACTAAAGTTGTAAGAATCATTAAATCTAACTTGCTAATTACTCAGATAAGGAAATTCAAGGATTGCAGATCTGAATCTCCAGGAAATACTTATTTCCTAAAGGATGGTATATACATTTGACCTCCCAAAGTGCTGGGATTATAGGTGTGTCACTGTACCCAGCCTCTCTCCACATTTGTTTATGTTTGAAATTTTTTATAATAAAAAGATTAGGCTTGGTGCAATGGCTCATGCCTATAATCCAAGTGCTTTGGGAGGCTGAGGCAGGAGGATTGCCTGAGGCCAGAAGTTGAAGACCAGCTGGGCAACATAGTAGGATGTCATCTCTACAAAAGGGCATGGTATTGTGCACTTATAGTTCTAGCTACTTAGGGAACTGAGAATTGCTTGCACCCTGGAATTCTAGGCTACAGTAAGCTATGATTGTGCCACTGCATTCTAGTCTGGGCAACAGACTGAGAACCTTTAAAAATAAAAAAAGATTAAAAATATTTTTTATATCAGAACCACTGGGGATGGGAAATAAACCAGAAGAAACTTAAAAAGTAATAGTTTTCTCTAAATATAATACAAACACCAGATGAAATTAAAATCATCCTGGTACAAAAACTTGTTTTGTATTGCCAAGAATAATAATTAACAGTGACGTAAACAGCATGAATGATACAGTAGGCATTTCTGCACCCCTTGTCAAATAGGAAAGAAATGCCTTAGACAGCCCAGGATTCAAATACCAGCTACTTACAGGCTGAAAGATTTTGGGCAAACTACTTAACTTTTCTAAATAGGATTTCTAGCCTGTAAAATATGGATAATACCTGCCCCCCTAAGGTTTTTGTGAGAATTAAACAAAATAGGTTTATGTAAATGCTTTAGTACAGTGCCTGGAATGAATAGGTGCTCAATAAATGATAGATATAAATCTTCTTATTAATAAAAACCATAAAAATATATTGCTAGGAAGATTTTTAATTCTTGGTAAAAAACTGTGCCTTAATAGTTTTGAGAATCTCACAATATTTAGCTATAATGGGTATATATTGAATGTTTATTGAACTAAACTCAACTTCACACCAAATCACTACAAAATGTCCAAAATAGCTAATGCTGATTTGGTTGAATAATTTGAAATCAACTGTTTGAGCTACTCCTGCAACATCAAGTGATTAAAACCTTTCTTACATCCGTGCGAAAATCTACACTGAATAGAGGAGAAGGTGGTGTTGGTGACTGTGTTGCCACAGGAAGAGTTGAAGAGACAAGAGGTGCTTTCTGAGTATGGTACTGTGCCCACTGATCTGGCTTTCTTCTTATCTGCTCCTCGCAACTGGTCTTCAAATGACCACAAGGTTCCTAATGGGGGATAAAAGAAACAATCTTAATCATCTAGGGAGTGGTGAATAAATTTAACTATGTTCTGTGAAATAACGTAAACAGTTTATGATATTGTTGGGACAAAAAAAAGCAGCAGGAAGTCACCCTCGTTTATTCTCCACACACTAACAAAAAGGTTAATATTTATTCAACTAATGTTAAAAGTAAAATCTGAGCACTCACTTTTCTGGTTTAGGAAAATCATTTGTATGTATGTGGAAATACTGACAAAAGGCCCTGCCCTTGTATTTTTGAGACTTTTTCCTATCTAAACATAACATTTATTGAGCATTAATATGTATCAGACCCACTTCTTAGAACTTGGATTTCTGATTTAATTCTCACAACAGCCTTATGAGGCAGGTACTATTATTATTTCCATCAAACAGATGAAAAAAACTGAGGCATCTAGAGCTCAAATAACTTCTGTAAGTCACACAATTAATAAGTAGAAGAGCCAGGATATATACCTGGGTGGTTTGACTCCAGGCACTGGACTCTTAACCGCTACATTATAGCAGCATTTCTGTTTCCATTATTACTCACCCTTGGTAAAGGCACAGTTGTCCTTGGCTCACTTGGTGGCTGACAAGTCACTGAATAATATCCATCTAATGAGTTATATCTTTCCCGCAAAGACGTCTGATAGACAGACGAATGCATCACATCCATTGGAGGTAAAGAATTGCTTCTAATAATGTCATCTCGTTGGTACATAGGTGGGCGCCAGATGCGCCTGCTGTCGTACACAGGAGCATACATTCCAGAAGGTACTGGAGGAACTGGTCCATACGGTTGCGGAGGAGGAGGTTGGTAAGGAGAAGAATTCATTCGATCTCGAAATGTACTGTAATGATCGGCATATGGCATGGAAGCAGGTGGGAGAGAGGACTCTGGAACATTATTAGACCTCACAAAGCGAGGAACACAGGGAGCCACACCAGCTGGTACCGTTGGAGGTGGTGGGTAGTATCCTTGAAAATTGGAAAGAGGAATATTTAATGTAATCTTAGTAAAATCCAGCATTTTATAAGGGCTTAAATGTAAGGCAGCCTATAATGTAACAAAATATAATAAGCTTTGAACTTCACCTTATTTACCCTCCTTTACAAAAAGCTACATATTTCAAGATACTACTATATGAAGATTATTAACTCAATAATTGGTTAAACTGTTCCTTAAAAAAACAGGACGGAACTATTAACAGATGGCTATTAACAAATGTAAATTTCCTTCTAGGGATATACCTTAACAGGTTTTGGATTAAGTAACCATTTACCATCACTGATTTTTATTAACCTTTTCAGGAGCACAGACTAAAGACCCCTTTCAAAATCTATGTAAGTTGTTCACTGTATTTCCAAAAGTGTACAAAAGCATACATAAATGAAATGTTTTGCATACCATTTCAGGGAGTCTATAGAATTCCCTAAAGTTCACTCATGGACTGTATATCTGATTGATAGAAATTACAACTTTCAAATTATTAGTATCTAGAATCACAGATACTTAGGGGAGGAAGACAACTTATGGGTTATACAATAGAAAGGATTAACTTTTTAATGCAGACATTCTAGATAGATACAAATTATTCACTCCATTTATCTTAGGTAAACAAATGCTAGATTAGTTTCCTTTTTTTTAGAATTGTCTAAGATTACTTACCTGTCTGTGGGTATTGTGGAACTTCAAAGGGTATCTGAGTCCTTGGATCTTGAAAATACTGAATGTTTTCAGAATGCTGAGGATATACTGGTACTCTAGTTAGAAATGGGCTGGATTTTTGAGGCACAGAATTCAGCTCTGTTCCAACATTAGAGGGCCCAGCTGAGGTAGCCGCTACATTACTTACAGTAGGAGTTTTGGGTGGAGAACCAATTTTACTGGAGAGAAAATTTAACAAAGGGCAAAAAATAAATTACTGTCAATGACTATTTAAAGTCTTTTTCAGTAGAAATTTTTCATAAAATTATATTATGAAACCACTAATAGATTATTTCCATATTGACAAATAAGACAATGATTTCATTGCTGCCTTAAGCTGCTAATTCACACGATCACGGTAACATCTCATTTTCTAGTGGGGTAACAGGGAATAAAGACAATTTCCAGGCATTAGCAAGATCAATCAGTCCCTTTTTACCTATTCTTTAAACATTTTTTCCTACTTGAAATTCAGTTCTGCTCAGTAAGTACCCAACAGACACAATATAGTCCATCAGTGGAATTATTTGAGACAAAGAAGATAGATATAGTAAGAAAGTTGCTTTTTATGAAGAGTTAGATTAGTTGAAATGCAGAGTCCTTGAGGAAAGGTCACTTTTGTCTGTTTTGTTAACTCCTACATCCCCAACACCTAGAACAGCTCCTAACATACAGTAGGGATTTAGTAAGAATCTGTTGGGTGAATAAAATACCACTGAAGCTGGGCTCGGTGGCTCAGCCTGTAATTCTGCGCCTTTGGGAGGCTGAGGTGAGTGGATTGCCTGAGCCCGCGGGTTCGAGACCCGCCTGGGCAGTGAGACCTCATCTCTACAATAAATCAAAAAATCAGCTGGGCGTGGTAGCGCATGCCTGTAATTCCGGCTATTTGGAAGGCTGAGGCAGAAGGAACGCCGGAGCCCAGCAGGTCGAGGCTGCGGTGGCCGGGAGCGGCCACTGCACTCCAGAATGGGCAACGAAGTGAGACTCCAACTCAAAAAAAAAACCCAAAAAAACAGTGAAATGGTAACATGTTAGATTGAGGCAAAACACAAATCTTTTATTATTATTAACACAAAATAATTGTCTTGTCACCAAGTAATTAGCTATAGAGGATCTTAGTATGGCTTTCTTATCCTCTTTTAAGGAAATTAAATTTTGAGGGGCAGCTGAGGCAAGAGGATTGCCTGAGCCCAGGAATTAGAAACCAGTCTGTGCAATGTAGTGAGACCTTTTATCTACAATAAATAAAAAAATTAGCCAGTCATGGTGGTATGTGCCTGTACACCCAGCTACTTGGAAGGCTGAGGCAGAAGAATCACCTGAGCCCACAGGTTGAGACTGTGGTAGCTGTGATTGTGCCACTGCACTCCAACCTGGGCAACGGAAGGAGATTCCGACTCAAAATTTTTTAAAAAGTCAAATTTTAACATAGGTTTAGATATGTGGTGACTCAAGAAAAAGATCTTGTTAAAACTATGCACAAATCCAATACATTACATCTTAACCAGATTATAGGTTTTTCTCAAACTATAACAGTCCTTTTAAAACTAGAGTATAAACAGTAAGATATATGGGCTGATTTCAAGTCTAGCACAAATAAGTCTAGCGGATGTTTATCTCTGTGTAACTGTGCATTAAAATGAAGAAAATAGGGCCGGGTGTGATGGCTCAAGCCTGTAATTCCAGCACTTTGGGAGGCCGAGGCGAGAGGATTGTCTGAGTTCAGGGGTTCCAGACCAGCCCGGGCAACTTGGTGAGATCTTGTCTCTACAGTAAATCAAAAAATTAGCTGGGCATGATGGTGCGTGCCTGTAGCTCCAGCTACTTGGAAGGCTGAGGTGGAAAGACTGTTTGAGCCCAATACGTCAAGGCTGCTGTGGCTGTAAGTGTGCCACTGTACTCTAGTCTGGGAGTCAGAGTGAGACTCTAACTCAAAAAAAAAAATGTAGAAATAAGAAACTATGGGCAATAATAGCAGATACGAATGTCATGGCTTAGAGTTTAAAGATAGCTTAGGGCTGTGCTTAGTCTATATAAGTTAAACAGAAGCAATAAGGAAAATGATTAGGATTTCCTTAAAACAACAATAACTAACATTTATTGACCAGTTATTGAGTACATTTCAGGTACTCAAGCTTTACATAGTTATTTGGTCCTTACATGTCAAAATGTATTTATATACTATAAAAATTGGATTAGAACTTTGAAATGGCAAATTCTTAGCATTATCAACAAAAAGGCATCACAATTCATGACAAGGTAAATATTCATAGCCTCATAAAATCATGCAACCTTATTCCAATAATCTGGACTTGTGGAAAAAGTTAATCTCCAGTCACATCCTAGTCAGAGAGCTGGATTACTACATGTATGCTAGATGACCTTCAGGATTCTAGGCTTTCCTTCACAGTAGCCCCTCTCATATCTCCATGCTTTTGTTTCCATGCTGCTTCCTTTATTCACAAGGGCCTTCCTTCCTTCCTTCTTCATATCAATACTTCTGGAACTAGCTCAGGTGTCATCCTTCACTTTCAAGAAGCCTTCCACAATACCTCCTATAGAATTATTCTTTCCCCTATGTTCCAATAATACTCTCAGAACACAACTACACTACAGAATCTTTTAAAGAATATCATATCTATTGGTATGCCTATTTCCTAAACTACACTGGAAGACTCCTAGAGGCAGGGAGTATATCTAGTTCACTTTCATTAGCTACATCAGTTAGCGTGATGGCACATACTAGATAATCTATAATGTTTGAATGAAGAAATAAATTATTTATTTAGATTTATTGATTTTTAAGTTTTTGACCCTCTAGCCTAGGCAATATAGCGAGACCTCATCTCTTAAAAAAAAAAAATCAAAAGATTAGCCAGGGTATGGTGGAATGCACCTGAAGTCCCAGCTACTCGGGAGGTTGAGGTAGAAAGATCACTTGAGCCCAGGAGGTCAAGGATACAGTAAGCCAGAACTGTCACTGCACTCCAGCCTGGGCAACAGAGTGAGACCCTGATTTTTTTTTTTTGAGTTGGAGTCTCTCATTCTGTCACCCAGGCTGGAGTGCAGTGGCACACTCAGAGCCACCGCAGCTTCAACCTGCTGGGCTCAGGAGATCCTTCTGCCTCAGCCTTCTAGAACCACAGGCATGTGACACCATGGCTGGCTAATTTTTTTGATTTATTGTAGAGACGAGGTCTCGCTGTTGCCCAGGCTGGTCTCGAGTCCCTGAGCTCAGGCAATCCTCTCACCTCCGCCTCCCAAAATGCTGGGATTACAGGCGTGAGCCACTGCGCCCGGCTGAGACCCTGATTTTAAAAAAAAAGCAAAAGCAAAAGAAAAATAAGGTTGGGTGTGGTCGCTCACGCCTATATTCCCAACACTTTGGGAGGCTGAGGCGAATGGACTGCCTGAGCCCAGGAGTTACAGATCAGCCTGGGCAACATGGCAAGACCTTGTATCTACAATAAATAAAAAAATTTGCCTGGAATGATGGCACACTCCTAATAATCCCAGCTACTTAGAAAACTGAGGCAAAAGGATCACCTGGGCCCAGAGGGAGACTCCGACCAAAAAAAAAAAAAATTTTTTTTTTCTTTATGTTTAAAAAAACTGAGATATAATTCACCCTTTTAAGGTATATAATTCAGTGGTTTTTGGAATATTTACAAGTTTGTTCTATTATCACTACTAATTCTAAAACATTTTCATCAGTACCTGCTAGTATTCACTCCCCATTCTTGCCTCCACCCTCAGTCCTAGAAACCATCAATCTACTTTCTGCCCCAGTAAGAATGGCCATCATTAATAAAACAAACAACAACAGATGCTGGCGAGGATGCGAAGAAAAAGGAACGCTTCCACACTGCTGGTGAGAATGCAAACTAGTGCACCCTCTTTGGAAGACAGTGTGGTGATTTCTGAAAGAACTAGAATTTGACCTTCCACATGACCCAGCAATCCCCCTATTGGGAATATACCCAGAGAAACTCAAATCATTCTACAAAAGATATCTGCACACACATGTTTGTTGCAGCTCTATTCACAATAGCAAAAACATGGAACCAACCATGCTGCCCATCAAAGTTGGACTGGATAAAAAAATCTGATACATATACACAATGGAATATTATGCAGTCATAAAGAAGGCCAAATATATGGACTTTGCAGCAACTTGGATGGATTTAGAGTCTATCATACTCAGTGATCTATCACAGAAACAAAGAACAGAGTACCCTATGTTCTCATTCATAAGCAGACCTTGAACAATTATAATACTATAAGAAAGGAATTGGCAGTAGTAGGAAACTGCCAGGAGAAGGAGGGGCACACCTCATCAACAAGGGTACCAGCATAATGAGCATTTGTATACCTAACCCTGAATTGTACCCCACATTTTAAAAAAAAGTCAACTTTCTGTCTCTATGAATTTGCCTATTTTGGACTTCATATAAATGGAATCATATACTATCTTTTTATATCTGGCTTCTTTCATTTAGCATAGTGTGTTCACATTTCGTATAATGTTTCCATTTTCTTTCATTAGTATAATGTTTCCATATTGTAGCAGACAACAGTACTTCATTTCTTTTTTATGGTTGAACAATATTCTACCTTGTATATATATATAAAATAGTTGCAGAAGTAGCAAATACTATTGCTTATCTACCCGTCATTTCTTATGTGCAATAACTAGCAGTTTACTGTGTCTAGTGTAGTGCTTTCTTTCCTTGCAGGTATGTAATAGATATAGATTATTTATTGGCAACAAAATCTGAATATGCTTTAACTCAGATTTTAAAACTCACACACACACACAGCATGAGATTTTAGAGTTGCAAAAAACTTTTCAGATTATCTGAAAATTTTAAAACTTTTTTTTTTTTTTTTTTGAGTCAGAGTCTCATTCGGTCTCCCAGACTGAAGTGCAGTAGCACAGCCACCACAGCCTCAACCTGCTAGGCTCAGGCAATTCTGCCTCAGACTTCCAAGTAGCCGGAACTACAGGTGTGCACTACTACACTTGGCTAATTTTTATGATTTGTTGTAGACACGAGGTGTCACCCCAAGTTGACTAAGCTGGTCTGGAACCCCTGGGATCAGGCAATCCTCTCACCTCGGTCTCCCAAAGTGCTGGGATTATAGGCATGAGCCACCATGCTGGGTTTAAAACCTTTTTAAGATACCAAAACCCTCTGCCAAATAAAATCTTATATTGACACCAAATAACAATAATGGTAATAATAATAATAAAGCAAATCTTTTTAAGTGCTTACTATCTGGCAAGCATTGTTCAAAGCACACTGACATTTTAATTCATTTAATTCTCACAACCAACAAATGAAGTAGATTCGATTATAATCCTAATTTTAAGAGTAAAGAAGACAGATTAAGTAGCTGGCCTAAGATTAAACACCTAAAAATTATGAGCCAGAACTTCAGCCCTGAGTCTGGCTCCAACGATTCCCCTTTTAACTATTATACATCATCATTACAGAGTATAAATAAAATAGAAGAGCTCTGACCTAAACAGGGCTAGAGGCTCAGCATCTAACCTGCTTAGGTGTTTACTTAGCTCTTTTATGATAGCTCTATGGATCAATACGAAAAAGTTCAAGGAAACAGGTTGAAAAGATTCAATTCTGACCTAACCTCTTCAGTGTATAGTAAAGGAAAACAAAACCCAGAGCTGAAGTGAGTTTCTAAGTTCACAGAGATATTCAGGTGCAGAGCCAGACTAGAACTCAAATTTTGGGGTAAATTTAGTACTTTTTCTACTACATGAAACATTCAGCATAAAACTTCTGATTACTGTTTTATCAGGATAAATGAAAAACACTCCAGTATTTCTAAAAAGGACAAATAATTCATATTTATCATTTTTACCTAATACCTACTTTTCAGTTATAGAATCTGCAGGCGGCCCAGCAGCATTCTGGCCATTAGTGCCAACCTTTCCCACTTTCTTCACAGTCTCCAGGGCTCTTAAGGTATTGTCAGTACTACGTGAGATTAGCTGGGATACACTGTTTTCTGCATTTGGAATTCCGTTTGTACTTGGAACAATTTTCCCCGTTGTTTCAGTACTTCCTATGACAGAAATGACATTTCCGGCTGTGGTTGTGACAGTGTTGTTTACACCAACTTTATTTAGAAGAGGAAACGTTCTTACAGTGGCACTGATCTTTTTGTTCCTTAATCGATACCTGTTTCAAAAACAATCAATATATTGGTGAATACATATTTCACTAAATCTTACTCTGAAGAAAGAAAACAATAGGAAAAGATTTTTAATTGGAGGAAACAGCTTTGAAAAAAGTTTCTTCAGTTAGTCAAATACAGTTCACATAAAATCTAACACATGAAACTATATATACGATTCACATATGCATTTGACATACATGTATACACAGGCATATAATTAACAGCAAGCAAAGTACACAAGTATTCTTTTTTTCCTCATGCCCCCTTGTATAAGAATGAATTCAACTGGCCAGGCTCGGTGGCTCAGCTTGTAATCCCAGCACTTTGGGAGGCCGAGGCAAGTGGACTGCCTGAGCCTGTGGGTCCGAGACCAGCCCAGGCAACTTGGTGAGATCTTGTCTCTACAATAAATCAAAAATTAGGCAGGCGTGGTAGTGTGCACCTGTAGTTCTGGCTACTCAGAAGGCTGAGGCAGAAGGATTGCCGGAGTCCAGCAGGTCAACACTGGGGTGGTCGTGAGTGTGCCACTACACTCCAGCCTGGGTGACAGAGTGAGACACCAATGCAAAAAAAAAAGAATGAATTGAAAGAAGACGTTTGAGATTTTGAGAGAGTGGAAAAGAGATTGTTTGGAGATTTGTATGACTGGAATATAAAATGCACTATGTAAAAATGACAGGAACTGGCACTAAGTTGGGAACACAGTAAAGAGAAAAGGTACATAAGAGTTGGAGACATTCTTTGTGATTACCAGACTGCTAAAGTATTACATACTTAAAAAATATATTTAAAAACTCATTCTTAAACAAATATTACACCAAAATACAGAAATTTTGTATTATATTTTCAAGATTAATTTATGCCCAAAGTAAAAGATATTTAGATTAAAGATTTTTCTAATACTAAGTTTTGAGTTTTATTTATGGTAGTCATTGGATATGATATATAAAGCAATTTGATCTTGGACTTCATTTAAGAAAATTTGTTTCTACCCATACATCAAAATTTCACTATGGTGTAGATCAACTTTTAAAGTGGTGGCTGGCTGGGCGCAGTGGCTCAGCCTGTAATCCCAGCACTTTGGGAGGCCAAGGCGAGAGGATTACCTGAGTCCGGGGGTTTGAACCAGCCTGGGCAACTTGGTGAGACCTCCTCTCTACAATAAATCACAAAAACTAGCTGGGTGTGGTGGTGTGCATCTGTAGTTCCAGCTACTTGGAAGGTTGAGGTGAAAGGATTGACTAAGCCCAGCAGGTTGAGGCTGTGGTAGTCAAAAGCAAGCTCACTGCATTCCAGCCTGAGCAACAAGAGTGAGACTCCAATTCAAAAAATAAATAAATAAAATAAATACAATAAAATAAAGTGGTGGCTGGGGCCAGGAGTGGTGGCTCATTCTGTAATCCCAGAGCTTTGGGAGGCCAAGGCGAGAGGAATGCCTGAGCCCGGGGCTTGAGACCAGCCTGGGTAACTTGGTGAGACCTCGTCTCTACCATAAATCACAAAAACTAGCCTGACATGATAGCACACACCTGTAATTCCAGCTACTGGAAAGCTGAGATAGAAGGATTGCCTAAGCCCAGCAGGTTGAGGATGTGGTAGCCGTGGGCGTGCCACAACATTCCAGCCTGGGTGACAGACTCCAACTCAAAATAATAATAATAATAATAATAATAAAGTGGTGACTGGGTGCAGTGATTCACACCTATAATCCTAGCACTTTGAGAGGGCAAGGCAGGAGAAATGCTTGAGCCTAGGAGTTTGAGACGATCCTAGACAACATTAGTGAGACCTCGTCTCTACAAAAAATTACAAAATTAGCCAGACATGGTGGCACATGCCTGCAGTCTCAGCTAATTGGAGGATAGGTGGAAGAACTGCTTAAGCCCCAAAGGTCGAGGTTGCAGTGAGCTGTGACTGTGTCACTGTATTCCTGCCTGGATGACAAAGTGAGAGAGACCCTAACTCAAAAAATAAAAAATTAAGTGGAGAAAAATTAAATTACATGAACAGAAAGAAGACTATAAACATTTGGGGTCTTAATTATATATGCCTAAATTAATCTGATTAAAGAGTCAATTACTATTATGCATGAACATGTGGTAATTAAATATCAATAGTGTTAGTGATAAGAAATGATTTCACAGTAGTTTCCCTTTTAGTCCTTCAGTATCTATAAACAGCTTCATTATTCAATCTTTCTCTTCTTTCTCAAACACAGATAGAGGAAGGTGAAGTTCAATAAAAGACAAATGCTCCCAGATCAGACTGGCTGAAGTGGAGTAATAGAACATAAAGTTTGAAAACAACAACAAAAAACCCAGGTGATGGCCAGTTTATATATGTCATCTAATAGATACTGGGAGAACCAATGATTACTTCTTTAAGAAGGAAGGTCAGCTGGGCTCGGTGGCAGCGCCTTTGGGAGGCTGAGGTGAGTGGACTGCCTGAGCCTGCGGGTTTGAGACCTGCCTGGGCAACTTGGCGAGACCTCATCTCTACAATAAATCAAAAATTAGCCGGGTGTGGCAGTGCACGCCTGTAGTTCCAGCTACTTGGAAGGCTGAGGTGGGTTGAGGCTATGGTGGCCGGGAGCGGCCACTGCACTCCAGTCTGGACGACAGAGTGAGACTCCAACTCAAAAAAAAAAAACCAGCAGGAAGATCATGAGCAGATTTATATTTTAGGAGGGCAATTTGGTGGCATGGAGGGGCCCAAAGATTCCTCTGTTTTCCTCAACATGCTCTCTGAAACCTAGTCTTCATTCTTTTCCTCAAAGTTCTTAAACAAAATGCCTATCTGTTCCTTGTTTTCCATCCTAGAAGAACACGTCTCAAATATCCATAATGTTGCTCTAGCAAGTAAAAAATAAAGTTTTGACTGTGAGCCTCTAAAAACAGAGGAGTCAGGAGAAGTAAACCTTTAAACAAATGAGGTAAAATAAGTGTCAAGCATGAATATATATACTGGACTCCTACTATCTGGGCAGCTAAATGCTTGAAATGAGAACCTGGACCTCACTCTTAAAAGAGTCAATTACTTCCTATTCTTTCGATTTTTATTTTTAGAGGTTGGGGTTCGCTATGTTGTCCAGGCTGGTCTCTAACCCCTGGACTCAAACAATCCTCCTTCCTTAGTCTCCCAAGTGGCTGGGACTACAGGTGTGAACCACCACGCCCAACTCTCCCTATTTAAAAAAATCATCCATAAGCTCCCCCAAGTGCTTACTTTCTTACTCATCTTAGAATTCACCGTCTATCATTAATTCATCTCTCATAAATACTTTAACTCCCTTGCCTACTCTCTCTGTAGAACTCATCTAGTAAAACTTCGACTCAATTCTTCACTTATTCTATGCCTGCTCCCAAGCAACTCCATTTTTTCTGGAGAAAAATCTTGCAACCATGCTATCTAGACTCCCTTCAAAATTAAAAACTATTTAAAATGACCAAGCAAGCTGGGCACAGTGGCTCACGCCTAAAATCCCAGTACTTTGGGGAAACTGAGGTGAGAGGTTTGCCTGAGCCCAGGATTCAAGACCAGCCTGGGCAAGTTGGCAAAACCTTTTGTCTACAATAAATCAAAAAATTAGCCAGGCGTGATGGTAAGTATCTGCAGTTTCAGTTACTTGGAAGGCTGAGGTGGATAGATCGTCTAAATGCAGAAGGTTGAGGTTACAATGGCCGTAATGTGCCACTGCAAAAGCCTAGACAACAGAGATTCTGACTCAAAAATAATAAAATAAAATAAAATACAAGAAAATGACCAAGCAATTAATTATTACACTTCTTCATTAAGTTCATTTTCCCATCTCTAACAGTCTTTATCCCTCCACTCTCTGGAGCTCCTCCCACAACTGATACTATTGCCTCCCACTTAATAGAGAAAATAGTGAAACCAGAGAAAGTTTACTTATCTTTCTACCACCAATTCCACTACCCTTCCAGCATCTCAAATCACCCATTTTTCCTAAGGTAAGGGACAAGGAGCTCCTGTTCCTAACTAAGGCCAGTCTCTCCATCTGTATCCCAGGTCTCAAGCCCATAGGCCTTCCTCTAAGACTTCACTCATGTAATTATCTTTTTTCTACTTTCTTTTTTTTTTTACTACATATTTTTTATTTTAAAATTGTGGGGTACGTCTTTTTTCTTCTTATTCATCACCACTTCATTTGGGTGTCTGCTCAAATGTCATATACTCTGAGAGTCTTTCCTGGACTATCCTATTTAACAGTAACACGTCTCCTTTCTCCCAGTCATTCTCTTTCTCCCTACTTAGTTTTGTATTTTTTTCATGGCACCAGAAATTATGCTTTCTATTTATTTGTTTTATGTCGGCTACAACGTAAGTTCCACAAAGACAATTATTTTGCCTTTCTTATGCGCCTTTCTATCTTTAGCACGTTAATACAGCATCTCGTGCATGGGTGCCCAATTAAAATTTGCTGCATAAATATGATGTAAACTTCAAATTTCATATGACCAAGAGAACGACTGATTTTCTGCCCCAAAGCATTTCTTATTTCAGAAAAAGACACCACTCAGTTATGCAGGCTCCAAATGTTGGAGTCATATTTGATTCTGCTCCTCTTTGTAGTGTCAGCTCTACTACTAAAGTATACCTGAAATATGACTAATCTTCACCATTTCCATTGCTATAGTCCTAGGAATCACAGTTTAACAGGTTTCCATGTAAGCAGATACCACAGTGACATGTGTAAGGCAAAACTAAAATCTCATAATTTCATTTGAATAAAACCCCACAATGGTTTCTTGTTGCAACCAGAAAAAGTCTACATTCCTTGCCGTGACCCACCAAACCACTGAAATTACTTATTTATATGTTTGCTGTTCTTCTTTTTCCATCAGAAACATCTCAAATAGCACCTAGTATATAATAATCTTTCTTTTCTTTCATTTTTTGAGTTAGAGTCTCACTCTGTTGCCCAGGCTAGAGTGCAATGGCACACTCACAGTCAATGCAGCCTTGACCTGCTGGGTTCAGA